TTTTAACAAATCTTGAATTTGGTAAGACTTAAACAACATTTGATACAAGATTTGTGCGTCTTTGATTGTTGCAGCGGAATGAAATTCAGGAACTGAATAATTTGCTCCAAATCCAACTTTGAATATCAAGGAAAGAAAATGTAATGCCACAAACTGAGTATCCTGTTGGATTGTTTGATGTAAATCTTAAGAAATAAATGGTCTGTCTTTTTTCTTTTCTTAGTGTCTTTGTTTCTAATATGTCGCTATTTTCTTTAAGCGTGAAGAACTATTTTAAAGGTAGTGGATGTTACAGTTAAACAATGTAACAATTTCCACTCTTTTTCAAAATAGTGTTTATTTTCTTTTTCAAAAACATTATCGGGTCGGGTCGGGTCCATATGGGTGACGCATGACCCATGACCCAAAATAACTTACATCTCCCACTCCGCACATGGTGGTCAAGACCCAAGCCAATTCGACATCAACTAGTCACCCAACTTCATATGATAAACAGCTCGTGCGATCGGTGAGCATCAAGAGTTTACCTATTAGATTTTACATGTTCCGTACAGGAATTCAATCACATATTGGAAATAATTCACTACTAATATGAGGACGGTATTACTCACAATACCCCATACTTCTTTCACTACTTTAGTAGTTATTTATTTGATCTCTCATCCTCATAAACAGATGAACTCGAGTTCATGTTTAACTTTATATACATAATTACACTCGATTGTAATAGTTGGCTTTTGTATACAAGTTATATTGTTCATTTTTAATCCTCTTTCCTTTCTACTCGAATCTATCGGTTCTATATCAATTGCTTTCCTAGACATACGACGCATTGCCGAATCAATCATGGCTATTAGCAACATGCTAAAGTAGCAACACCGATCGAAACTTCAAGAAATAGTAAAAGGTCAAAGGGTATTCCAATGAAAAGTTAATTTAACCTTTTGGGGTCTCACGTAATGAAGAAGCAAAGAAACATTCTTTCATTAGCCCACTGATCACTTAATACACGTGGTATAAAACATGTGCTACGATGTTCTCACCTTATATTGGTGTGTGTGTCGCATTCTTTTAATCATTCAAACATCGTACAGATCTTGGTTTAGACACCTCTAGATGCCTAACCCGAGATTTTCTTTTCAATGATATGATCCTCAAATTCATATTTTTAGAGAGACTCTTATCTAGCTAATAAAACAAGTCATAACATGGTGGTGAAACTCCTCTCTTCATGTTCCTCGATGTAAGAGGTGATTGCTCGTGTGAGAGAGCCAATCTTGTGACTTGTTTGACATACTTTATTTCTAAAATCAATATCACATGCATATGATATATGAATATAAATTCAAAATAGTCATATATTGATGAAAATATTATAACTACCTAGTTATTTCACAATACATAAATATTATCATAGCCTACGGAAACCTAGAGCCTTAACATGTTTCTCAAATAAGTTTCTAGTTATTACCTTTGTAAATGATCAACTATCATTTCACGAGTAGGAATGTATTTCAAATTTATTTCTCCACTTGCTACTATGTCTCTCACAAATTTATACTTGATGTCAATGTGTTTTGCCGGTTGCGGTGCTCTTCGCCGGAGCTGGAGTCGAGGTCGTTGGTCGGAGCAATCGCTACTGCCCGGAGCTTCGCGGGTCTTGGATTTGTTGTATTCCTCAACCTTGCTGGAGAGGAGAGAAGAAAAAGAGGAAGCGAGGGGCGATTGGGTTTCGCCAGTGGTCTTCGCCGTCTTTGTGCGTGAGGGCTCCGTTTGGTGGTTGTTCGCTCGTTCTCGCCAGCGGCATGGCAAGAGACGAGGTTCGCCGGTTGTTCGAGAAGAGGAGGTGAGGGGCTGCCCAACTTCTCGCTTCTCGCCGACGACTGCCTTGGTGGTTCTCGTTGGTACATGAGGAGAGGGAGAAGAGAGGGGATCGAGTTTTAGCGGTGAAGCTCTCACCGACTTCCACTGACAGAGGAGAGCAGCGGTGTCGAGAGAAAAGCCAAGGGGTGCGGCTGTTGTCTCAAAGAGAGAGGAGAAATGAGGTGAAAAAAGTTAGGGTAGGTCTTTTGGGATTTAAAAAAAGAAGATAAAGTGTTGATTGATCTTGGCCATTGAATGGAATTTGATGGACAAATATGATTTAAGGTTGGGGCTGATCGGATAGATGAACGGGTTAGATTGAAAGATGGAAATCTGAGATTGGGATCAAATAGGGCTATAATTAAAATAACTTGTATGGAATATGGCTAGATTTGGAATGAAATTTAACTTCATGAGGCTAGAATTGAAATCAAATTGGATAGAAAGGGCTAGAATTTAAATAATTTAAGGGAACATCAATTGAATTGCTATTTAATTAATAATGTACTACACATAAATAATATTTTTTTATATAAACATACTTTTTAAAACCTTAAACCGATAACTAAAATAATTTTTTTCAAGTTTTGACACCCGATTAATATAATTATTGTTTTGATAAGGAAAATAATTACAATAAACTTTGTAAATTATGAATATTAAAATATAATTAATTACATAAAATTACTTTCAATTTTGAACCCGTAAAATAAGGGGAAAAGGTTTTTGCAATACATATCCAGTCAAATAGCAATTCAGGATTGGCTATCGGTCGGTCAAAATTGGGAGTCAACAGTTGCCCCTTGGTTGCTTGAGAATGAAGATGAATTGTCGAGCAACCAACATTGATTGAGTAGCCGATTTTGTCCGACCAACGAAAGATGTTGGTAGGATCAATCGAAATGATATATAGTTGGAAAAGATATGACTTAGACTTTGGTATTAAGTCTCCTACATACCTCTGGTATTAGGAGAATCAGGCCGTGTGTAGTTCTAAATTTAGGAACAAATGAAGCTCTTGAAACTGAAATAACGGTACGAGATTCGAACGGAAACAATAGCGGCTTGAATGGATAAGACTAGAGCAACGAGGTGGAATGAATAGTGCAAAGGATCGTAAGAGAAGAGATCATATGAGTAGCAAACAGTTGAGAAAACCTTCATTGCGGTCTATATTAGTCAGTAGTCATATCTGAAATGGCCATTGATCTTGTCTACAATATATCAGTCTCTGCAAATATGTAGCTTGTAATTTGAGTAAATAAAGTGATTAGGGCAGATATATCAAGTAAACGACAAATGTAAACATGATAAAATTTCCCATATCGACCAAATATTTGTCTTAAGACTATGAAGATAATGTCTTAGTCTATAATGTTTATGACCATTATACACAAAATTATATCCTCAGGTCATGAAAATGTTGTCCATAGGTCATGAAAATAATGCATTTAGACTATGACACCTTCAGATCATGATAAATAAAAATTAAATATTTAGGCCATGAAATGATGTCTGCAGGCCATGAAAGATGATGCCTTTGGACGATGATGCCTTTGGAATATAAATAGTAAGTAAAGAAAGCGTTTTTTTTTTATGATGTACTTCAGGCATTGAGTGATACTTGTGACTTGATTCGATAGAAACTCCCTATAGATGTATTCCTTTTTGAGCTCCATGTGACTTGCATCGATAGTAGCTCCAATAGTTCTCGGGCTCAGTATAATTTCTAGGCTCAATGTAGATACAACTCTTGGGCGTGTGAAGTCCTCAGGCACAATGCAATCTTCGGGCACATGCAATATCTCGGGCACATGCAATATCTTGGGCTCATGTAAATCTCGAGCTCAATGCATTCTTCGAGGACATGCAATTCTCGGGCACATGCAAATCTAGGGCACATGAAATTCTCAGTCACATGCAATTCTCGGGCACATGCAATCTCGAGCACAATGCAATCTTAGGCACACGCAATCTCAGGCGCAATGCAAATTTTCGGGCACATGCAATTCTCGGGTTCATGCAATCTTCGCGTACATGCAATATCTCAGGCTCTTGCAAATCTCGGGCTCAATGCATTCTATGGGCACATGTAATTCTCAGGCACATGCAATTTTGGGCACAATACAATCTCGGGCACAATGTTATTCTCTGGTACATGCATTTCTTGGGCGCAATGCAATCTTTTGGCACATGCAATGTTGGGGCATATGCAACCCCGGACTCATGAAATTTTTGGGCATGATATGATAGTTGAGAGCATTAAGCAGCTTAGACATCCGCCTTGTTGGAAGGATCGATTGTCATTTATTGGCGATTGTAGTATAGAGTAGCTTGGTCCTCATCTTTTTGGAAAGGCAGATATGCCTTTTTTTGGCGATTATCGAGCTCAGAATAATGTAGCTTGGCCTTTCGTCTTATCTGAGGGGTAGTGTGTCATTTGTTGGCCATTGTCAGGCTCAGTATAAGGTAGCTTGATTCTTCAAGCGATGTTGAAATTTATACTTGTATATGTACCTATCTTTTCTTCATTCAAAGAAAAATTGTGAGTTTATAAATGGGAGAGGTTGATCTACTTTGACCGGTGTGCTCTATTTGACTTGACATCTAGAACTTTTTTGTGGATTTTCTTTGATGAAAATTATAAATAGAAAAAATAAAGTTTGTAAAGGTTTTTGAAAGTATAATTTCTTTAAGGTTGTACAACTTTTGTTGAATCTTTGACCATGGCACAATTTGAGACTTTACAACGTCCGATTTGGAAAGGTCCTTCTGATTTTGATACGCATCATAAATTTTTTGAAAATCATTCAAAAAAAATTTGCCCATTATAGAACTTCTGTTATTCTGATCTTTATTGTAGATTGTAGCTTGATTGTTATGAATTTTTGAGAGGTCAGACTTGATTTGTACGGAAATGCTCTTTGATGGAATTTTTGAGACCCTCTCAAAAATTCTGCCCAAAATGATAATTTTTATTAAGATAAGACCGAACTCCATAGGAGCGCATACGTATATCCTTTTAAACGGGAATCAGATCTAACGTAGTTCCAAATTACAAAACAAAGAGCATGAAACAAACTTAGATGTAGTATCTCTTCACAACATCTGAATTGATAGGTTTGGGCCAAATTTTCTCATCCATTTATGCCAATATGAGTGCTCCACCTATCAACACCCTTTGTTTCATCTTGATTTGGGAAGATCCGCTTCAAAACCAATTGCTCGGGTGAGAAATATCTAGGTCTGACCTTCTTGTTAAAAGCTCTGACCATTCTATTTTGATAGAGTTGACCATGACAGACGGTGTTAATCCCTCTTCCGTCAATTAATGCCAAATTCTCTGACAGCATTTGCACCCATTTAGCATTGCTTAGCTCTCCCTCTTGAATAATTCTCAGAGATGGTATCTCTACTTCAGCAGGTATCACAACTTCCTTACCATATACCAGAAAATAAAATGTAGCCCCGGTAGAAGTTCTGATGGTAGTACGATACCCCAACAAAGCAAATGGTAGCTTTTCATGCCAATGTTTATAATTATCGATCATCTTGCGCAGTATCCTCTTGATGTTTTTATTTGCAACCTCAACCTCTCCATGCATTTGTGGTCTATACGCTGTCAAGTTTCAATGATTGATCTTGAACTTCTCACACAATGATCTCATCAAATCACAATTTAGGTTGGTTCAATTGTCAGTAATGATTGACTAAGAGAATTCAAACATACAAATAATGTGATTTTTGACAAAATCATCTACAACTTCCTTCGTCACCGATTTGTGAGAGGTGACTTCGACGCACTTGGTGAAGTAGTCAATTGCAACAAGAATGAATTTGTGTCCATTTGATCATGTTGGTTCGACTGGACCAATGATGTCTATGCCCCAAAATGCAAATGGCCAAGGTGAACTAGTAACATAGAGTTCGTTGGGAGGAACTAGATCATATATGTATGAGTCTGACATTGATGACATTTCTGAATATAGAGAATACAATTTGTCTCCTTGGTTAACCAGAAATAACTTGATCTTAGAATCTTCTTTGGTAGAGTAAAATCGTTCATGTGAGGACCACATGTTCCTGCATGTATCTCTTCAACCAACGTACTAGTTCTCCAGCATCGACGCACCTTAACAAACCCAAATCGGGAGTCCTCCTATAAAGGATTTCTCCACTTAGAAAGAATTGATTTGCTAACCTTCGAACCGTTCGTTTTTGTACACTTGTTGCATATTCTGGATATTCACCATTCTTTAAATATCCTTGATTATCATGGTACTAAGGCTTTCCATCAGGCTCCTTCTCAACATGATAGCAGTATGCTAATTGCTCATATATAATAATGTAAATGGGATCAATGTGATTATGATTAAGATGTTGAATCATAGAGGATAAAGTGGCTAAAGCATCTACAAATTCGTTCTGGATCTTTGGAACATGCTTGAATTCCGTCTTGATGAACCTTTTGCACAGCCTATGCACTCACTCTAGATATGGTAACAACTTCCGATTCTTGGTCGCCCACTCACCTCAAACTTGATGAACAATAGATCTGAATCTCCTATTATCAACATTTCTTGGACATCCAATTCAATCGCCCATCGAAATCCCATAATGCAAGTTTCATATTCAGCCATATTATTTGAGCAAAGGAATCTGAGTTTCACCGATACCGGATAATGTTGCCTAGTTGGTGAGATCACAACAACTCCAATGCCAGACCTGCTTAGATTTTAGCTCCATCAAAGAACAACTTCAACCATCGTATTCTTCAGAGATATCTTCCCCCACAAAAGCTACTTCTTCATCCGGAAAGTAAGTCTTCAAAGGTCTATACTCATCATCTACAAGGTTCTCTTCCATATGATCTACTAATGCGTGTGCCTTCACTGCTTTTTGTGTGGCAGATACTATGTCAAACACACTCAATTGTATATGTAGTTTACCATAACTTGTGAACTTACCACATTAGTACCACTTTCACTATCAATAATCATAGACCAAAAATTATCATTTATCCCACACCTTGTATGGAGAATAGTTTCTCTCCTTAAATTAGCTAGGGTGACATTCTTCTCCTTTAAACGTTTGATCAACACATCAACACAATTAATGTCATTTTGAGTTCTAGCTTTAATTTCCTTACCTGTTTCAAACATCTCAAACAATATCAAAGAAATAAATATCTTTCAATTTGGGTTTTTCTTTTCTCAATTGATCCCACTCTCTCTTGCCTTTTTCCACTCAAATTACTACCTTTGGATGGATCCTTCAGGATTTATGTATAAACCCTATTAGTAACAACCTTTTAAAAGTAAGATGTTAAAGGAAAATAATTTATCAATTTCAGATAAATTGGATTTGATGAGACAAGGAAAAGATCCATTTGTGAAACAAGAAAAAAACTTCAAATTTCCCTCTTTCTTGATTTTCCTTTTTGAGATAGAAAATCAAGAATCAAAACAAATTTATTTTTTTTGTTTTTTTTTTGCTATGTGACTTAACTTTTAAGCTACTACTATAAAAGATTTTTTTCTAAACTCCCAAGATTATCAAGAATGGAACCTTGATAGTACCGATCTGATACCACTTGATAAGAATCGAGTTACCAGAATAAACAAGAAAATAATGTGGAAGCGAAATTATAAAGATTAAAGACAGAAAATTGAAAGATATGTGAATAAAAATCCCCAATTTCAAGATAAAGTGCTAAGAACCCTAATTGATTTTAGTGTCTAAAATTAGCGGATTAAAACTAATTATGATACTAATAAAGTCAATTCAAGAACTTAGATCAAAAGTGATCTAGACCCCCTATTACGAGGAAACTAGAGACAATAATTAATATAAGATTTAACCTTCTTTAATTTACAAATAAGAACGAAAGATATCAAGTTAAATAATTAATTTCACCTCTTAAGAATCGTTCTTATAAGGTTGTAAGATAAATCTCAAGTAGCCACACAAAAAGGCGTAAAGAAGAGAAACTCTCAATTAATAATAATGTTGTCTGCTCAAAATAATAAAATCAACCCCTATATATAGGGAAAATCTATCCCAAATAGAATAGGATTTAAATCCTACTTTTATGGAAATTTTAAACTAGGAAACTTTAAACTGGGAAACTTTTAAACTTGGAAACTTTAAACTAGGAAAACAGAAAAACTTTAAACTAGGAAACTTTTAAAATAGAAAATTTTGACTTTAAGCGTTCAGCTTTTTGGGTTCTTTTATTGGGCTTTGTGTGGCCCAATCTTCTTTCTTTTGGTCTTGAATTTAGACAGTTCTTTCGTAATAAACATATTCTTGATTTTTCATTGAAGTCCGTCAACTTTAATACAAGTAGGCTGACATGGATGCTATCACATGGGCTTTTGAAAAATATACTTCAAAGGGTCCATTCTTGAGATCAGATAAGTAGTGTGTGAAGAGAGGTAGTGTTGCAGCTTCTGGGAAACCCAAGTTAAAGCACAACATGTACGTTCTAATAGAAAATATCGGGTTTCATATGATGTGAACTTCTTGCTCATGTAGTATATTGTCTGCTCTTTCTTTCATGTTTCATCATGTGCCCCAAGATGGAGCTAAAGGCATTGTCCAATACTGACATGTATAACAATAATAGTCTACATGATTCGGATGGAACCAACACGAGGATTTGACAAATAGTCTTTGATCTTGTCAAATGCTTACAGACATTTGTCTGTCCATTTTACAGTAGCATCCTTCTTCATCAGCATGAAAATTGGTTCAACGATGACAGTTGACTGGCTATGAAACGATTGATGTAGTTAAGTCGTCCTAAGAAACTCATTACCTCTGTCTAACTCTTCGGCGGAGGAAGATCACAAATGCTTTGATCTTTTACGAAACCAATTCTATACCTTCGCGATGACAATGAAACTCAGTAGCTTTCCAGCAGGATTACCAAAGACACATTTTGTAGTATTCAACTTCAGGTTATACTTGCGTAGATTGGAAAAGATCATCCAAATGATTTGAACCCTTATTTGACTTGATGATGACGTCATCCACATAAACTTTAATTTCCTTGTGGATCATGTCATGAAACAGAGTAGTCATTGCTCTCATGTACGTAGACCCAACATTATTTAACCCAAAATGTAGAGCTGTCAAAATGGGCTGGCCCAACCCTACCCAACCCAATCCTAACGGGCTAGAGAGTTAAATGGGTTAGGACGGGCTGGTCCTTTTAGTTAAAGAGCCTATAAAATAGCAGCCCTAAGCGGGCCACGGGTTGGGATGGGTTGACCCTTCAACCAAAAAATAGAAAATATTGGCCGCTTAGAAGAGTATCGAACGTTGATGTCTGATGAACACGACATCAATAAATATAGAAATTAATTCATCAATTATAGATACTTCAATGAATACTTACAAAACAAAAACATAATAGCTAAGATAAAACATTAATAAGATCCATACGAGCAAATCACATTCCATGGTCACTATTTTCATAAACAAGACAATAAAGAAGTGGAAAATTAGGTATAAAAACAAATGTAGAAAAGGTCAAAGATTCATAGTTATAATGGAGTAATGAGTTTGGGCTAATAAGAAAATTTAGTAGGCTAATGGCCCTGAAATGTAAAAGTTGTGCAAAAAAGTTAGACTTGATTTTATATTTATATTTTAATAATATTTATATATAATAAATCTTTTTAAAATTCACAGCCCATGGGTTGGCCTTTGAGGCTTGAAGATTGGGCTTACGAGGCTAGCGAATCAAATGAAGCTGGACTAAAAAGTCTTGTTCCTAAATGGGCTAAAAATATTAAGCCCAACCTCACTTAATTCAAGGGTTGGGTTGGGCCCGCCTAGCGGGTCAAGCCCATTTTGACAGCTCTACCTAAAGACATCACCTTGTAGTTGTAAACACCCCATGGTGTGGTGAAAACAGTTTTCTCAGCATCCTCCTTGTGAATCTCAATTTGATGATAACCAACAAAGCAATCCACAAATGATTGTGTTTCATGCTTGGCACAGTTGTCAATCAGGATGTGTATATTAGGCAATAAAAAATTGTCCTTGGTACTGGCCTTGTTGAGATCCCAATAATCCATACAGACTCTGACCTTCCCATATTTTTTAGGCACTGGACAACATTGGCAAGCCAAATTGGATACTCCGTCACTTGAAGGATTCCGGCCTCTAATTGCTTTGATATTTCCTCCTTGATTTTCAAACTCAGCTCAGGCTTGTATTTTCTAAGATTCTGTTTCACTAGAGAACAAGCTGGATCAGTGGGCAACCAATGAGCTACTATCGAAGTGCTTAGTCCTAACATGTCTACATAGGACAAAGCAAAAATATCCTTGTTCTCTATGAGACACTTGATATATTTTTTCTTATCACCTTCCGTCATATGGATGCTTATTCAGGTTTCTTGTGTTACCTCCGAATTACCTAGATTCACCACTTCTGTTTCTGCTAAGTTTAGATGGGAATTTTCCTCGAATTCCTCAACTTTTCTAATTAACTCTTCAGGGACTTCACTTTCTTCAACCTCTTCGAAATCATTTATGTTAAGTTGTGCGACCTCATTACGTGTCATAGTCTCAGATTCAACATTTTTATAACA